CGAAACATTTTTGATGATAAAAGACATTCTAATGTGGAGAAAGAGTGACTGAAATAGTTAACTCTAAACTCAGTTAACACTTTCTATGAGTGCCAATAAATGCATGTCAATTAGAACAAAGAAGACACCTGACTAGATACAGCGAAATATGCCAAGAAATAAATTGGGCAATCTTTTGTTTGTGTCATCTTTGTTCAGATTTGCAACAGAGAAACACTGCTTTGATTTTCTGAAGCATGGCAATTTGTTTGTTTATACTGTTAACTCTTATGTAAGGGAATGGTCATGTTTTACTATAATATATATTTATTATCTACCCTGTCTTTTCAACGTCAAATTGCAGTTAAAAAGATACGTCGCTGTTGCTGGTGGTAAGTGTCATTTACGTGGGTGATTGATTTGTTATCTGCTCAATAAAAGAAATATTTGAAAGTAATATCTAGAATTAAGTGACTTGTATTGGTTTATTATGATGTAAGGATGGAATTGTAACGTTTTACTGTACTACCTTTTCTAATCTACCATTGTCTCATCAACACCGAGTTACAGTTAATAATGCAAAAACTCGAGCGTTATTAAACATATTAGGTTGTGTGTGTACAGAAAGGGAATGAGGCTTGATTTGTTATCCGTATAACAAAATAAATAGGGCAAGGATGAAGTAGTAAATTGTAAAAGTTAGCTGTGGCGTAAAAAAAATTTTTCAATTTAGTTGCATTACAGAACAATCCTTAGCAATTTTTGACAGCTTGTGATTTCACTAGGTAACTTTACGTTCAGTAGTTTGCCATTGCTAACTAAATGGTAGGCTCTCTATACCACTGTCTACGCCAACACAAGGTGGTCTACTGGCAAATCGCCCACAGCTGGGATCCAACCGGTCACCCAGGAAACGAAGCAGGTTCGCAACGTCTAAGCCACATACGCCGACTGTCATGTTTTTATAGTGTACAGATATCCTTGTTACATCAAGACCTGTATTAATTTATTGTTTTTTTTTTCCCGATGTTTGCATGTGACACTATGTATTGGCTTTGCCATGCGGTACGCCGTTTAAATTTAAAACAACCTCTTATATAAAAACGGAATCACATTGTAAACGGCCTCTACGGTTTGTTGTGGTGGATTTCGATCAGTTTTTTTGGTTGAGTTGAGAAGATGTCACAGACTACGGCCGACTCTAGAGAAGGTGGTGTCACATACTCGAGGCATACCCCAAAGCAGTCCACCCCCTTTTCAGCAGCCATCGTAGAGTTCAAATTCCACTTGTATCAGAAACAGTGGGTTTAGGCAACTTAAGCCGCACACACCCCATTTTTAATGTGCCTGAGGCTGTTTCATAGAAAATCATCATATTTTTTATTGGGGGGGGGGGGGGGGAGAGAGAATGCTCTTAATCACGTATGGACGTTCTCTTTGTAACTATTTTTTCAAGCATTTCAGTGCTTTCTTATAAGCTGACCACAAATGACGTCACCAGACAGTCCAATGTTTTAGAGCGTATTTTCTGTGCTTTAGCGCGTTTCTTTCAAGGCCAAAGTTTTTGCGCGTTTACCTAACTCTAACTAACACCTAATGTGTAATAACGAACATAGAACAGGCCTCATCAGTCGTTTTACACTTGTGGAGCTTTTGAGGAGGAGATTAGAGCTCTATGGATCTGTCCGGAGTGCTGTGATAATAATCATTTCTAATCACTAATCACCTAACTTTAACCTTAACCCTAACCAAAACTATACGCGTAATCTACCACCCCCTGAAATATTTGATTGCCCTTGACCTATACGTTTTTCCTGCTTGTGGTCGTCTAATAAGAAAGTACCTGCATTTCATATTATTTCATTCCTTTAAGTCTATGGGTTCTAGACTTCCGGTGTAAGAATAAACTCACTGCCTTTTTAACACACATGTGGTCCAGTGTTGCCACTTTGGATCTTTTATATCCAAATTTAGATCTTTTTCATTGCATTTAGATACTGTTTTTGACGTTTAGATCGTAAATACTTTTCTAGAATTTTTCACATGAAGTTAGATATTTTATAGATCTTTTTTAATTTCATTAACAATTTAATAATTACTATGTAAAATAAATATCTGGCAGTCCCGGTACTGATTAATAAAAACGCGCGTAAATCATACTAACTTTGTTTCAACCGTATCCTCACTGCGCTGGCTTTGCGTTTCTTTTTCATGTGATTTAAAAACAATAATTGCTCAATTTCTTGCGTGGCTTTCACTTTGAAAAAACCTTTCACCATGCCAAAAGTAAAGTATGAGCAAAAAATTTGGAAAGAGTGGTTGCATGATGACAAAATTAAAAACTGGGTATATAACCAAAGCTTGTTGTAAGTACTGCAAGTGTGAAATTAAAGCGACAATACAAAACTCAAAGAGTCATGCAGAGACTAAAAAAAGCATAAAACTGCAGTTTCATTTAAAGATATTACACTGCTGACATCTGTTTTCAGAACTATACTGATAAATGAATCATCAAAAGTTAAAGTATCAGTCGGAATGTTTTTAATTTGTCACTGCGCAATTTCAAACTTTGATCGATTTGTAAAAAATCTTGGATTAGTTTAATTTGAAAAGTGTGATGTAGAAAGTATAGTTTAGGAACTGAAGGACCTTTTAATCAGCAAACAGTTAGGCTTGAAGAATTTGGCTGTAATTGGTACTGATAATGCCTCAGTGATGGTTGGTATAAACAATGGCGTTTATGCCAAGTTGAAGGAAGCTAACCCATTGTTAATACTTATAAAATGTATGCGTCATTCATTGCAGCTAGCATTTTCACATGCTTCATCTAAATATTTACCAAGGAATTTGGAATACCCTTTTGCTGAAACACTTTACTGGTTTTCCAAATCATTTGTCTCTTAAATGCTATCGTGCCATTAAAATTCAGCCTGATGAGACTAGAGAAATAAGCCTACTGTTCCACTTATAAAGAAATTTGAACAGCTAAAGCATACCAGGATCATTTTGGATCTGAAGCTTCAACTTCATTATCCAAGCTAAGTTTATCCTGTTAATCTTGTGAGGTAGACATCAGTGAAGGTGAGGACATGATTATGTAGGGTAAGTCATTACAAAAGCTATGTAATTTTTGACTTTTCAAATTTTGATATTTTTTCTAAATCTTTTCCACGCAGATTTAGATCTTTTTAGATATTTTTTGACACCGTTTTGGATATTTTTTGTCAAAAAAAAGTGGCAACACTGGTGGTAACGGTTTACTAATAATGGATGTTTCCTTCGAAGTAGAAGTGCTTCTGCCTGAGAGTCTAAGTACGAATAGTTTGCATACAAATAAGCCAGATCTGTAAAATAGATGTGCGGGCAAAATCCAGGTGAACGCAAAAAAGAATAAAAAGAAGAAGAACATTTTTTTTTCCAGATATGTACATGTACAATATTCGCCATTCGGCACATTGTAATATACTTACTTACTTGATTACTACTTCGGGTGAAAGTGGTCTTCATCACTGGTGATGGACGAACTACTGTGTACTTACTATTATTAGTACTATTATAGCTCCATTAAAAAAATAATGTATCAGATTGGTAGATGCCTTAGACGTCGTCTAAAACCATGTTGATGTAGAAAAGAAGGGAAAACTTCCATTCTGTGCATCATAAGAAGACGATATCGGAACAAGTGGGAGTAGGAGGGCCAAAAATCACAATTAATGATGAAGAAATCGAACATTTCACTCTGAATGCATAGAGTCTATATGTCTATAGCTTCTAAAATTAGGATTAAAATAATCACATTGCAACTGGTACTACTAATATGTCAACTCTTTGTTGGCTACTGAAGAAGGGGGCGGAGCACAGGTGGGAAGGTCCCGGGTGCCGTGATGTCAATTCTTGATTCATTCATTCAGTTAGGATGGAGATGGCGATATTAACTACGGCCTTTGGATGAATTTCCATTACCCGAGTCGTCGGACATATCAGAGTGAATAGTGACCAATAATTGAGAGTACCAAGGTGACTGATGAGTCTGCTTTGAGCCTGGAAATTGTTTGAGCAGTGTGAACAATGAATAGAAATGACAGTGAGATGGGATTTGCCACATGGTTCTATCTGGCCTACCCATGTTTCTCTTTCAATACAATCTATCCTGACTGTATGTCTGATGCATCATGTCTGTGGACTGTACGCCATCCAGATCGGCCTTGTGCAACAGCCTTTCCATATTTATGTCCCAGTGCCAAACGATCCGAGAATGTTTTAAGATCCTCATTGCAGCATATTTTTTTCTTCGCTCTACCTGAGGATCTTTTCCTATGCTAGAGCTTGCCATAAAATAATTATTTGGTAGGTTAGGCGACAGCCCAGCAGATCTGATATTTCTTCAGTAGTGTATGGATGCGTTGCATTTAAAAAAAACGGAACTCACACTCGGTGGGTGATGTGGACAACATCACACAGTCCGTCTTTGCTGCCCGGGACATTGCATGGAATACATTTTTGTTGTTATCGTTTTTAGGTAAAGGCTTATGTTTTTATGTTTAAATTAAAAAAAAAAAAAAAATTAACGATAGTGAGCGCTTCTTGCCGGGTGTGCTTTGCATTGTTAGTGGTAAATACACATGTTGCCATTTGTTTTTAGTGGTGGCATTACGTGATTGTGTGTGTGCGCGACACACACACTCACTCACTCACACACAAGATAAATTCATAACATTCTACATTTTGTGCACTACTATTATTATGAAAGACAAAGACGATCTTGGTGAAATTATCGTGACAATAGACACACACACACAAAACTTAACATTCAGATTAAAATCTCAAATCAGTATCGAGTGGAAACATGGGGGAAAAACTCAAAATAATAAAACTTTACTATTAAATGAAACATTGACCCGGTTCTGTGCAAACATTTTAGCCTGAGTTTATTTGGATGCCAGCCATACCCATATTCTGCCAAATTATCTGGCAACACCGTTGTTACTCCGTAGTTAATATTTAGTGCGGCATTATCGAACATGGCAGCCTTGTTGTCATTACGAGATTACGCAGACTCGGAGGCTTCGAGTAGCGAAGATGATGGATTAAACGCACATTTGAAACCTCTTGCGGATTTATCTACGTCAGTTTCGTCAACTATTAGCTTAGTTTCTGCTCCAGAAGTAGTCAGTAATGTAAGTCTAAAAATGTAACCTTGCTTTTAAATGATCATCATTATGATGTAGTCTCAGTCTTCAGACTGACAGGCATGTTGTGTTGTTTGTTACTTTGTTGTCTGTTGTAGTTTGTAGATGTGCCCACCCCATAATCAGCCATCACATTCACAACACACAACTACAAAAAGTAGCAAACCAAGACAACGAACATTGCACTAGACCAAGTAATGAATATGATAAAACAAAATCAGTTTGTTATTTTTTTCTGTATATGAAATAATTTAATGAAATTAATGACAATAACAAACATCAGATGTATACTGAAAAAGTGATATACTCTGTGAATAGATGATGGTCATGGTGACTACTGATATGTGAGTTTCGTAAGGAGATACAGTACACTCACTTGATAGACAGCGTGCACTGCCCTGCTATAATCATACGGTTTGGGTTAGGGGTAGGGTGTGGGTTAGGGTTACGGGTAGTGTCGCCGTCGCCGCATCTCGTCGTCGCACAAACTCAAAGTTGCAACCCAAACCCTAAACCTAACCCAAACTCTACCCCTAACCCCAACCCACACCCAAACCGTATGATGACAGTAGGGCACTGCACGCTGTCTATCGCCAACACACAGTAATTCTGTCACTTGTATTGTTCCCTCTAATCCACTCCGTAATGCGACGCAAGAAGCGGTAATTGAACGCGGTCGCTAATTTGAGTCGCAGCGCGGGGTCTGCAAGGCATTTCGACCTCACTTTGTTTTTTGATTCGTGCCTTCTCCAGTCCGTAATTGCACTGTAGCCAGGGGACAGAACTCCGACAGCCGGCTGTCTACTGTTGTCTACCGGCCGTAGGAGAGCCCAGTTTTCTTTTACCTAATTTAGTCTTAGATGAGTTCCTGTTATATTATATGTTGGCTGTGCATGTTTAAAGAAAACAAACTTTTTAAGCTGTTGGTTGGAAATCTGCAAATCACAAATCTAAAAATTTCTGGGCTATCTTCCGAATAACGGTCCCAAATTATCGAGGCCAAAAATATACCCTAACAAGGCCTCAGTCACATGTCATTTGCGGACTTCCAGCGACTTAAAATTAAGCACTTCTGGTGACTACTGCCACCGCCGAGAGTATCTCCCACGCCGCTATGCGTAGCGTGGATTGGGGCTAAACTAGATGGCTGGGACTCACGAGCAATCAAAACGAAGGAAGCAGCAGCTACCGCATCTCCTGCTGCTTCCTTCTTTTTAATTGCTCGTGAGTCCCAGCCATCTAGTTTAGCCCCAATCCACGCCGCACGTAGCGATGTGGGAGATAATTTCGCAGTGACGGAAGTCCGCAATTGACACGTGACTGAATCCCTGTTAAGGTATATTTTCGGCCTTGATAATTTGGGACCGTTATTTGGAAGATAGCCAGTTTCTGCATCTCTGGGAACATAGAATGAAAAATTCTAGCCATAGTAGATTAGCAGATGATTCAAAGTATGTGTGGTTTTGAGGTGAAGCAACCCAGGCTCTGTGTTAACAAATAAAAATCTGGAATTTGATGTAATGCAGAAAGGGTCAAACATTCAAATTTTGCACACACACAAAAAACAACCCCAGTTAACAAAACAAAGAACAGCTTGATTTCCTTTGTGGGTTTCTATGATTCCCTTTGTGGGTTTCTATGATTCCCTTTGTGGGTTTCTATGATTCCCTTTGTGGGTTTCTATGATTCCCTTTGTGGGTTTCTATGATTCCCTTTGTGGGTTTCTATGATTCCCTTTGTGGGTTTCTATGATTCCCTTTGTGGGTTTCTATGATTCCCTTTGTGGGTTTCTATGATTCCCTATGTGGGTTTCTATGATTCCCTATGTGGGTTTTGGGGTCTCATTATGGAGACTCGCTGCCTTCCCCCCACCTCCCAAACAAGCATGATGATGTAAAAGATTACTAATTAGGGGTGTTGCCTCTAAAGTCGGAGCACATCTGCCTAAGAGGCAATAAACCAGCAGTCTGCATACTTCTTCTTTTGTCAAAATCTGCTTGTGCCGCTAGGCGTCGCAGTCTATCAGATGATCGGCAACCGAGCCAGGGCGCGCTCAGTCGCTTCATATGCTGTGATGTTATGAAGTCTCAAGTTGTCCGTGACTCCTTCAATCCATCTTCTTCTTGGTCTTCCCCTGCCTCTTGTTGTTTCGATTTTCATGTTGTATGCTCTTGATGCTGGCATCGTTGGTTCCATTCTCATTAGGTGACCAAACCATTTCATTCTTTGCTTCTCAATAAATTTAACGATGGGTATGGTTCCAATAGTTCTTGTAATCACATCGTTTCTCACTCGATCTCTTCTGGTTTTATTCGCAGCCATTCTCAAACATCTCATTTCACAGGTGGTTAGTCTTCTCTCATGTTCTTTTGTTAATGTCCAAGTCTGACATTGATAACCTAATGTCGGTATAAAGATTGTATTTATAATTTGTATTCTGCATACAAACAAGGCAAATCTGCAAAAATTGCTTAATGAATATGCAGCAAAACTCAAGTTCTGGAACAAGACCAAAGTCCAGGAGTGGACTAACAACCAGGACTTATTGCCACAGTTTGCAGCTGTTGAATGTAAAGATGAAGAAAACATGATAATTAGAATTATGATTTCTAATTGCACTAGTCCTTTATCCCCTGATTATGCATTTGTCTTTGCTTCTGTGTGTTTCTTAACATAAATTAATGGTACTGTCATGCTATTGCCTGGTTGTATATTAATATTGTTTTTTTTTTTTTTCTAGGAGGATACCTCCGGACTGAGACACATAGACCCCAAGACGAAGGAGCTGAAATATAATCCTAAACACGATGAGTTGTTTGCACCAAGTGTAAGTTTTGTCATGGCTAGATGTGCCCCAGCCCCATATTTGTTAAGACTTGTCAACTCTTGATGAGTGATGTTGCTGTTAGTCAAGCAAGTCACCTTTTCGTCCAAGACAATTTGCGATATCCATTTTAGATTCTGTTGAAATGTTTTCAGACATGACCTTTGAGCTGGCAAGCAAGTGTACTCGCCATTGTGCTACCTTGGCTTCTAGGTCAGTTATAATAGTTTTTTTTTTCTTGTAAATGTCACCATGGGGCTCGCAGTCTTTTTTTCAGTTGTGTTTTATCCTGTGCAATTACTTCAATATCAAGGGTGGGTTCCGGTCCTGCAACTTTGGCTTCTCTCATTGTTTTCCTTAGAGCACTGGTTCTCAACCTTCCTAATGCCGCAACCCTTGAATACACTTCCTCATGTTGTGGCGACCCTTGAATACAGTTCATCATTTTGTGGCAACCCCCAACCATAGAATTATTTTCATTGCTTCTTCATAACTTCATTCAGTATGTGTTTTCCGATGGTCTTAGGCAACCCTTGTAAAAAGGTTGTTCGACCCACAAAAGGTCAGGACCCACAGGTTGAGGACCACTGCCTTAAAGTTTCTCATGGACATCATCGTTTCTTCCTTGCCTCTGTTTCACACTTCAAGGTCTGTTTGGTAACTCTGTGTTCATCTCTTATTAGAATGTGTCCAGTATAGTGTTATCCTCTCTGTCTTAAAACTTGATACTAGTGGTTGCCTTGAATTGCCTTCACTCCTTAAATTCATCCCATTTTAGAAGTGACGGTGGACAAAGAAATATGTCAGTGGGCCATGATAAGGAAAAATCACAGACAAAATATAAAAAAATTAAAAAAAACCAATGCCAACGTCCAAACAGATTCTAGTGAATCAAGAGATGAAAAAAGACACAGACTTTGGATAGGACACACATTGAAAATACCTGCTATTGCATACAGCTCACCCCATGTCCTTTCTGTCTTTTTAAACTTCACTGCTTGATCTCAAGGCATGGTGTCCACCTCGAGTGACTTCTAGTAATTTCCCCTGGTCTCTGGGTAGTAAGACCAAATGCCAGTGTGTATTGTTGTGCACTTAAAAAATGTCTTGGCAGTTGGAAATGAAAAGAGTAACTTAACGGCGCTGCCCTTGCAAAATGTAGAGTTAAAAATCTACCTAAGAAGTAATTCAGGATCCACGCCAGTGCAACAGAGTTTGTACAGTGCCCTGAGATTCTTCGGGTTACACCCGAAAGACGAGAAGAGGTAGACCAAGAAAGACCTGGTTACAGAACCTGACTGACTGGAAAGGCCCCTAAAGGTGGAGATAGCTGATGAGTGAATAGAAACTGGTGACCCAACGACACGTAGTGTTGCGGGATGATGATGATGAATTTGGTAAATAAATTCGATGTGTCGGCTGAAAGGTGTAAATACCATAGCTATACTGTAAACAGACAGAACACAATTACGTCACTCGGACAAATGATAAAGAAGAAGAAAAAAGATTTATATATTCTGGTGAATATTAAGCACTATTTTGATACATACATCTACATATTACTATGACTGTAGCTGTTTTTCTTAAAATGTGACGCATGCCTTATTCATATCTTCCAATTCCTGATTTTAGATAGGACCAGAAAATCCTTACAAGACAGAGCAAGCTAAAGCAGTCCGGAATAGTTTGGCAGGTTTTGTCGAGCCAGCACACTTCAACGACTTTCAGTTTGACACTCAGAGGAAAACATTTACAAGTTATGGTATGCTTTATTTGTACTGTATATCTTTCAGTTCTGCTACGTGTATGACATTCTTTTCCCAGCCATTTGTGGTTCTGTGGTTTAGAGGCCAGTGAAAACATTTCACAACCCATGATGTACCAGTTTTTGGTTTCCATGGCAGATGATTTAGATTGGTTTTTTTCCCCTGGGTGGACTGTTTGGGCCCCATTTTTAGAGCAAACTTAAATAGGCCTTCCATCCCCAACAAACATGTCATATGAAACAAAAATTAAATAGCTGTGTGCTGGGCCACAAATATCATTGTTATGTCACACTGCTGTCTGTGCATAGCGACAAAAACCACTTAAAAATGATCAGTGGGAAGGAAATCGTTTAATTCTGTGCTCTGTTTGTATTTTATCTTTATCTCTGTTGCCTGAAAGTTGGTACAGAGATCAAACTGATTAGGGCAGAATTGAAATTAAAAGAATCGAAAATCTTTTGTCAGAAGGTGCGGATATCGCAGCTTAACTGTGATCCTCAAAGTTCAACATCTCAATCGCTTTTTTTAAGGGCAAGCACAAAAGTCACCTGCTACTCATTGTAATGTTTAACATAATAACCTACGGTACTTGTACATATACATTTTATACAGACAGTTTAAATTCTTCTCTGTAAATTTCCTTCTAGACTTTGCTTTTGATCTCATTGTGGATTGATAGATGCTTATTATGTGTACTCTGTTAATTCTTTTTTGAAACAGGCTGAAAAGGTTTGGTATCCTTTGTTACTGGTACAATCAGAATTGGAACTCTTAGCTTGCTGCTGAAGATGGGGACGAAGCGCCTGTGGAAGTATCCCGGGTGCTGTGATAGCGATTTTTCATTCAACATTCAACATTTGGCCATCTAGTGAAAAATGAATCCAGTGGGGCAGGCAGCAAGACCATACATTATGAGAATGGTAACACCAAGAGGAAATGGGAGACCTAGACAAACTTGAATTGAGCCTGACTTCACAAAATACCAAGCAGTGGAGCGCACCTTGTCACATGTTAAACTGTGATGCCTTGCGGCACACGGAAGATGTTAATGAAAGAAAGAATGAAGTGCACATAAATTTTTATACAGATAATTCATTTGCTTCTCTCTAAATTTTCCACCAGGCTTTGCTCTTGATCCGAGCGTGGATGGCAGTGGGCAGACAGACACAGTTGTTGGGGATTCTACTGCATTCTCCGAAAATGAGGGTAAGTCGGAGGACTTAGTATCAGTAGATAGAAATTTGAGCACTGTATAACATTGTATGTAGTACCCTGGCTTTTCGACACACTGGCTTGTGTTCAGTTGCCAGTTTTGGGGCAATTTTATTCCCAATGTGGGTTCTGGGCACCCATTTTGAGGGGGGGGGGGGGGGGGGTTGTAAAAAGAATAGACTCCTAAACCTTCATTATAAGAATATAGTAAAAGGCGACTAATTGGAGGTGTTTCTTTTAAAGTCGGAGTTTCTCTGCTTCAGAGGTGAGGAACCAGCAGTCTGCATACAAATAGACCAGATCTGTAAATTCGATGTGCGCGCTAAAGTAAAGTTCGTGGACAAGATTAGAAGTCCAGAAGTGTACGAACAACAAGAACTTTCCGCCAGAGTTTTACAGCTGATGAACACAATGGAGAAGAAATACAAGAGAAGAGCTTTCAGTGACGGCTTGAGGGTTGACATTCTGCTCTATAAAATAGATACTTCTTCTTCTTCTTCTTTGCGTTCACCAGCTGTACACTCTGGCGGAAAGTTCTGGTTGCTCGTCCACTACTGAACTGCAGTCCTGCTCCAGAACCTGAGTGTTACGTGTGCATCAGTTTTGCAGATCTCATACTCTTGAATACAGACTGTTGGTTCCTTGCCTCTCCGGCAGATGCATTCCGACTTCAAAGGAAGCTCCCCAATTAGTCGACTCTTACGACATGCTTTTGGGGAGGCAGTGGGTCTATTCTTGTTTTCCCCACAATGGGGCCCCGTAACCCACACGGGGGAAAATAGATACTAATAAGGGACATGGTCAATCAGCTCCTGATGTCTCCATATAATGTATACAAAGCCTTGTCCTTTGATAGATATTATGTCTTCTGGTGAAGTAATAAACAGATTTTGTGTCTCATGAGGTGATAATCAGGAGGGCGTGTGTAGTGTAGTTTTGTGGTAAAATTATTCAAGTATTGTGTGGGGGTGCTGTTGTAATATTATTTTAGCGTTGTGTTAGAGGGAGGGGGTGCTGTGGTAATATTATTCATGTGTTGTTATAATATTATTCAAGTGTTGTGTGGGGGTGCTATCGTAATATTATTCAGGTGTTGTGTGGGGGGGTGCTGTCATAATATTATTCAAGTATTGTGTGGGGGTGCTGTTATAATATTATTCAAGTATTGTGTGGGGGTGCTGTTGTAATATTATTCAAGTATTGTGTGGGGGTGCTGTTGTAATATTATTCAAGTATTGTGTGGGGGGTGCTGTCATAATATTATTCAAGTATTGTGTGGGGGTGCTGTTGTAATATTATTCAAGTATTGTGTGGGGGTGCTGTTGTAATATTATTCAAGTGTTGTGTGGGGGGGTGCTGTCATAATATTATTCAAGTATTGTGTGGGGGTGCTGTTGTAATATTATTCAAGTGTTGTGTGGGGGTGCTGTTGTAATATTATTCAAGTGTTGTGTGGGGGTGCTGTTGTAATATTATTCAAGTGTTGTGTGGGGGTGCTGTTGTAATATTATTCAAGTGTTGTGTGGGGGTGCTGTTGTAATATTATTCAAGTGTTGTGTGGGGGGTACCGTGGTAATATTATTAGTGTTGTGTGGGGGTGTCATGGTAATATTATGTGTTGTGTAGGGGTGCTTTGGTAAAATTATTCAAGTGTCATGTGGGGGTGCAGTAGTTGTATTATCAAAGTGTTGTGGGGGGGGGGGGGGGGGGGGGGGGGTTGTTGTGGTAATCTCCAGACATTATTTGGAATGCTATGTCCATTAACTGACAGTTTGAACAGTATTTTAATATCCCAGCATCTCATGTTTCTGGAACTTGCACCTTACAGGCAAAACAGTGTTTGAAACCAACCCAAAGGTAGAAAAACCAAAGAAACGGAAGAAGGAGAAGAACATGGATTCATCAGATATTGAAGGATACTTGGGTCCATGGGCAAAATATACAGACGAAGAAACAGTTTCGAGACCAAGTGAGGTAAGCCTACTAGTATCAGGAATCATGTAGTGGTTGTGAAGCGCTTCAATCAGTTTATCATTATTATCATGTATCATGTGGCTTCATATGTGGATTTCGGAGCTCTATTGGGGGAGGGGGGGGGGATAGTCTCTCTGCCCTCTAACAAGCATGTCACAGAGATGACAAATTAGGGATGTTTCCTTTGTAGTCAACATGCATCTGCCTGTGAGGCAAGGAACCAACAATCTGCATGCAAGTAAGCTAGATGCGTAACATTGATGTGCATATAAGACTCAGGTTCTGGATCAAGACTAAAATCCAGAGGTGGACGAACTGCCAGAACTTTCTGCTGGAGTTTACAGCCGGTGGATGCCAGGATCAAGAAAATATATTGTGACAAAGTTTGGGCGGTCTCTGTGGTGTTCACACAATCACCAGGCCTGCAGCCTGGTCCTTATTCTAAACTTGATTCTATCATGGGGTTAAGCTTTTAAGGTATTTATCTTTTTTCTTCTCTTTGCCCTTTTCGCATCAAATTTGCCAGTTCAGGCATACCTAATATCGTGTGTGTGAATTTTTTGTTTGTTAAATGAGATGACCAGAACACATCAGTCACTTTAAATAATAGACTCTCAGTTTGGGTTCTGGAACCCCATTTGGAGGAGGGTGCAGGAAAGCAGCAGCGGGCAAGAATAGACCCACCACCTTCCTGAGAATCTTGTTGTAATAAGAGTTGACTACGTAGGGATTTTTCCTCAAAAGTCGATGAGCGTCTGCCTGAATGGCAAGGATCCAACAGTCTGCATGCAAGTGAGCCAAATCTATAAAATTCAACCAATAACAGGAGATTGTTGGCAGTTTTAATGTTTGTTTTTTTTTTTCCAGAATAGAATAGGTTACCCTTCTCTGCTACGAGTAGATACAGAAGGAGAAGCTTGGTAATGCATGATGTTTAATATATGTTTTTACCTCCTGTTGCTGTTACCTATTTATGTCAGGTGGCTTTATGGGTTGTACACTGGATTACTGGTCCACTTGATTGGGGTCCCCCCCCCCCCCCCCCCCCCCCCCCCCCACACACACACACACAGATTCTTCTATTTCATCTCTACTGTTATGACTTTTTTTCTCATTATTTTTTGTAAGCTTCTTGTTTGACACTAGTAACATGATGTCAAACCATTTTATCCAAGTGTTCCTTTGTAGTTGCCATACTGGCAGACCCCATGCATGCGCGCTCAGTATGAATGATAGGAGGTGAAAATTAAAATGTTGGTTCGTTCTTTTTGCCCTGAACAGGAAGAGCAGAAAGAGTTGGATGAGATTCTGGCCAAGCGAAGTAAATCTGGCAAACAAATAGAGGAGAAGACAATAGAGGAGAAAACAACACTACACAGTAAGTTGTGTGCTGATTGCCGTTTATTGTGATGTCCTTTGTTGTATGAAAGCTGTCAGCTTTGCTGTGAGAAAAATACGGTTAAAGTACTATAATGTGTGCATATGGGACCTGGCGTAAGAAGTGCTAGAGTACTGTTTTCCTTTATGCATAAGAGACCTTGCACATAAAATACATTACACAGATTTTTTTAAGTGACTGAAGTCATTTTCTTCTTTTTCTTCACATTCGCCAGATGTAAACTCTGGCGGAAAAGTTCTGGTTGTTTGTCCACTTCTGGACTCTAGTCCTGTTCCAGAGACTGAGTGTTGCATGTACATCCATTTCACAGGTCTGTTTTTTGCATGCAGACTGTTGGTTCCTTGCCTCTCAGGCAGATGTACTCCGACTTTGAAGGAAGCTCCCAATTAGTCGACTCTTACAACATGATTTTGGACAGGCAGTGGGTCTATTCTTGTTTTTCCCACAATGGGGTCCCAGAACCCGCACGGGGAACTGAAGTGGTTTTGATTAGGCATTCCCTTGTTATGTAGGCTAAAGGATCACATGCTTAACCCTAGACTTTCATGTTATCCACGGTGTAACAAATGACACTGTGATTTGTGTATTATTTTAGTTAAATGAATTACTTTTTTTGTTTTTGATTATTCTTTTACTTACTTAGTCACTTCTGTTGTTCCTTGAGGTATAGAGGTTTGCCAGAGAGATCTTCAGAATTCTCTATCCGCAGTTTTGTGTTTGAATAGTAGTTTGTAGTTACAAAATCATTTATTTTGATTTCAGTTAAAGAGGCATATGACTACCAAGGGAGATCATTCCTGCATCCACCCCAAGATGTTGGCGTTAACCTGAAGTCTGATGAACCTCCAGAAAAGTGCTTCCTTCCAAAGAAGCTGATACACACATGGACTGGTCACACCAAAGGTATTGCAGCCATCCGGTGGTTTCCCAAGTATGCCCATCTTATTCTGTCAGCTGGCATGGACTGTAAAATTAAGGTGAGCATTTGTTGGTATTCTTGTTGTTATGTTAACTTTTAGGTTTATACGCTTGGTCATTTGGGTCAGATGGAAACAAAATCAGCCAGCAGCTAGAGTGTATTACATCAGAACAGCAGGCTACAAGACAACAGGCTGACCAAGAAAGAGATGGGTGGAGAGTAAAAAAGAGAGTATGACATTAACACAAGCTACGCAACTCAGGTTGAGATCCTCTGCTGCAAGAGAAGGCAAGACCAGTAAACAACAGTGGGCACAGAATACAAAAGACACTTTGAACATGAAAATACCTACAATTATCTCAACCCACCCACACTGAACAAGTTACGCTGAAGCTGTTTTGCGGTACCCCAGTTTATGAGTGGATTTCCAGTGAAAACCTCAACAGTGTGATAGAAATTACAGTAACCAAGGCATTGTCTTGTAATCTGGTAATATTATTTAATATTGTCTTGTAACAGCACTTGATAGGTGAGTTGGTCAGCATCACGCCAGCCGCCTTTACTTCCCAGGACTGTGCCTGGTACTCACTCAAGGCTGGGTTGGCCCAGGGAGCTAAGGTCATTGTAAAAAAAAGTCTAGCCCCCTTCACGATCCGAACCCACGACCTTCTAATCCGCAGGTGAGCATCTAGACGCTAGACCATGGCTGCTGCCCCAGAGATAGAAGTCTTTAAACAAATGAAAATGTATAAAGTAGAGAATTTTATGAAGGATTGAGTTTAGTTCTGTCAGGCTGTGATCAGAGTACCATAGATAATTTGATGAAGGATTGAGTTTAGTTCTGTCAGGCTGTGATCAGAGCACAATAGATAATTTGATGAAGGATTGAGATTAGTTCTGTCAGGCTGTGATCAGAGCACCATCGAGAATTTGGTGAAGGATTGAGTTTAGTTGTTTCAGGCTGTGATCACAGTACCATAGAGAATTTGGTGAAGGATTGAGTTAAGTGTCAGGCTGTGATGAGAGCACCATTCTGCAGAGAATCAATGATGATTCATATGTTGGACACTTAGCCTTCTTGGACACAAGAAACAGATGGGAGATTATATTGCAAATGTTAAAATTCCTATGGGAAACATGGAGAACAACTAAGGCAATTACTTATAAACTACGTACATTCATTAACTGGTGCCTGCGCAGAATAGAGGGAATAGAATCACTAATGTAGAGCTTTTTGAGTACTAAGCAAGCTCCAGTGGACCAAGAGGTAAAGAAAAGACGCCGCGTTGGATAGGACACACATTGTGAAAACCAGAGAACAATATAACTAGAATCTCTTTCCACTGGAACCCACAGGGGCATAGGAATAAAAAAAAAGGCAAAAAAAAAAAAACATGGTGAAAGAAGCTGGAGAATGGGGAGAGCTGCGTGCGATAGCAAAGGATACAACGACTTGGCATGAATTCGTTGAGGGCCTATGCTCCATTGGGGGCTAGAAAGGCAGAAGAAGAAAATTCCCATGAGGTTGGAAATTGTATCAAAGGAGGTTGTAAGGCTGATGTTCTGGACATGGTGTATGACTTTACCATGACGTCTGCACAGATCTGGGTGCAAAGGTGCATAATTTTGTAATAATCCCCACAAAGATATGGGGCAGGGGTGATTTTAAACCATGTAAACCTTTATCATCATGATGTCTGCGCAGATCTGGGAGGTATATAAAGAAAGGCGCTGCATCAGGACCTACACCGGCCACAAGCAGGCAGTCCGAGACGTTTGCTTCAACAACGATGGCAAGGAGTTTCTCAGCTGTGGTTATGATAGGTACTGCAAACTTTGGGACACAGAGACAGGTAAATATATATGTGTGTTTGTGTTGAAATTGAACACACATTTCATTTTATCTTAGCTATACTGCTTATGTCTCCTGATACTGAATGTATCTGGAGACCCTCGGCCAAAAAACGAAAAATTGGGACTTGTTACATTACGTGAGGATTTTGATGCTGGTGATTCTGGGTTGTCTCCACTGTCTGTAGCTCACTCCCTCCTTTTATTCCCCATGTGGGTTCCGGGGCCATTTGGGAGGGGGGGGAGGGGGTAGACCCAGTGCCAATCTAACAAGCATGTCGTACAAGGCGACTGATTAGGGGAGTTTCCTTTGAAATTGGAGTGTATTTGCCTGAGAAGCGAGGAGCCAACAGCCTGCATACAAATAAGCCATGTATGTAATGTGCATGCAGAACTCAAGTTCTGGAACTAGACCACAATCCTGAAATGGATGAACAGTCAGACTTTCCCCTGGAGTTTACCGCCAGTGAACACGAAGAAGAAAGAAGACTTCCATATATGTTGCTATTAGTTTGTACATCGAGTGGTGGTATACCGCCATCTTAATGTGACCACTAGCCACAAACTGCCTAGATTATGTCATCCCATTTAGTCACTGGTATAAATAACACCTGAGAGGTCAGTAACAGGTGTGTTTAACCAGAGTGATTTCTCTATACCACAAACTCAGGTGAAATTGCTCACCACAAGGAAGATTAATCAAATAAGATAGCAAAGGAACCGTCCTTGAAAAAGCAGGCCATCAGGCGGCTAAAAAAGGACTAAGCTTGGAATTTTCGTTTGATTTTATACGATACGATATGATATACCACAGAGATAAAGAACAGAATAGGACAGGCTAAAACTGCATTTTTTAACTTGAAGAGCATTTTCTGTAAAAAAAATCCATGTCATTGGAGGTTAGAAAAAAATAATTCTTGCATGCCATTTGGAGCCATTTTCAACACATGGCTCTGAATCGTGGAGAATTAATAAACAAGCCAAACAATTTCTTGAGGCCTGGGAGATGTGGTTATACAAAAGACTTCTTATAATTCCTTGGCCAGCCAAAAAGAGCAACCATGATGTTTTGAAAAAGGCGAGGACTTGAAGGTAGCTTATCACAGACATCAGGAATAGAGAGTCTTCATGTTTTGGGCCATTTACTGAGTAGGAAACTGGAATAACACAAGAAGATTCTTGACAGCCTTATGTCATGGCACGGAGGATGATACACGCCAGTGATCTCCAAACTGTGCGCCGTGGGATCATGCCTCTCCACAATCTGCGAGATTCAACTGCATGTATCAGTGTTTCCCAAACGTTTCTTGGTGGCGGCGCCTTTTTTAAATTAAAAATATTTCCTCGGCGCCCTAACCTCAGTAAAAGTGTGACTATTCATGCCTTGGTGAAATTAATTATGAAGCTTTTACAATATTTTGCGGTGCCCCTGTGGAGAGGCATGATCGCCCACTCTTGCTGGCAAGGCACTTGTGGGTGATGATATTCCCTGTCCCTGTGTGGATTCCAGGCTCCCATTTTGAGAGAAAGCAGAGGAGACCCCGCCATTTGTTAACAATCACGTCCTTAAGAGCAACCAATTAAAGGTTTGCTAAAATTGTATGTGTGGGGCCAAAAGGTGCAGATATTGCAGCCTAGCTGTAAACCACAACACAACATGCCATCCACCCTTGAACAAAGAAAAAGAAGAAAACTGAAGTGAAACAGAATCAGTTAGCCTGCATTAGTACTTTCTGAAGCCAGAAACTGACTGATCACTTGTAATGTTATATGGAGTGCAGAAACTTTAGTTCTGTCAGAATAGAACAGTCATTTATGTCTTCTCATTAAAATGTCATGATAGGGTTAATGTTTAAAGAAATTTAACAGTCATATAGTTAAGGAATATCACATTAATATACAACACTACATTCAGGTGAATGCAAGGCTCGGTTTACAAGTCGAAAGGTTCCGTACTGCATCAAGTTCCACCCCGAAGAAGACAAACAACATTTATTTGTGGCAGGGACATCAGACAAGAAAATTGTTTGTGTAAGTAAATTTGTTTATTATAGGTTAAATAAGTTTAAAGCCTTTTTTCATGTAGTGTGTTGCGTAAACTGAAATATCATGTGGCTTCGGGCGGAGGAGCAAACTGGGGAGGATACTAGCCTTGTCCTGTGAAGAGCGTATAAAACCTGAAAACTTAATGTTATGGCAGTGATGATCAGGCCTTTGTTCTTGGCTAGCAGTTGGTCTAGGAAGGAGTCTCTGACTTGCGGACAGAGTGCTGATTATACTACTTCTGCAACGTGCTCAATTCCAAACTTGTTGATGTTGCCCTTTCTTTGGAGTAAAAAAGGCAGGTCAAGAGAAGGATCAAAGTGCATGGACAACGCATGGTCTCTAGAATACTCTCCTAGCTTTATGCTATAGAGAAGAGGAACTTCATCCCTTGCTCTGATTGGTTGTGATTCACATGCGTCTCTAAAACACAATTTAATCCTTTTGTCACTAGAATGCTTAAAAAAGGGTCATGAACCAGCAGAAATTTCCAGAAAAATTCCTCAAAACAAATTACGATAGGTCAAATCAGTAATTATTTAGAAAAATAAAATGTGAAGAGTTAACATTCCTAATTTTACTTTACAGTATAAAGCATGAATATTCATTGTTTTTCTTTAGAATGAGAAGCATAATATATTAATCTGTTGCAATATTCACGCTCTATGTTTTCACAGTGGGATATTCGGTCGGGTGAAATAATTCAAGAATACGACAGACATTTGGGGCCAGTGAATTCCATAACTTTCATTGACCAGAACAGAAGATTTGTGTCAACCTCTGATGATAAAAGTCTGCGCGTTTGGGAGTGGTAAGTTTAGTTTTAGGTTCTTTAAGACAGCCAGTCATTTTGTGAATAGATTTATTCATCTTCTTTGAACTAATCTTCCATATCACGAAGTCATACATTTACAGAATCTGTGGTTGCACAATTGGGAGATGTATGCCAGCTAGCCTAAAGCTATTGTGTTCAAATCTCTACCATGGTTGATTTGCATCAAATGACCTTGACCCACAAGTTGACACACCCTAAAATGGGTACCAGGAGATATCCAGGAAAGTAAAAACTCACTTGATGTTGATGACATCACCCTTTCATTGATGTTGATGACATCACCCTTTCATTGATGTTAATGACATCGCCCTTTCATTGATGTTGATGACATCACCCTTTCATTGATGTTGATGACATCACCCTTTCATTGCCGATTGGTCTATAAAAATGTGGTGGGCCTAACACCACATGCCAGGTTTCTCAAGGGTATGAAAAGGGTCTTTTACTTTGGCACAGCCCAAAACTTTTATGCCATTTGAACACAGTCATCCCATTGTGGGTTCCAGAACCTTTTTGTGAGGAGAAAAGAATCGACCCACTCCCTCCCCGTAACAAGCATGTCGTAAATGTTAAATGTTGAATTAAAAAAATAAGACACTCCCATAAGTGCTCTGTCCCCATCTTCATCAGCAAGCAGAGAGTTCCAATTCCAATGGCACCAGTAGCCGTCTGATTGTACATCCATCTCATCCTTCCCCTGAATGTTGAGCGTCGGCCAGATCCCCTGGTAACTCCTCGCAGTGCTATTCTCTTAAGACCATAATGATCTGTCTGCGCCCCCGAACTGTTCACTCGTTCCCAAAGGGCCGTCACAATATCTAACTTGTCATACATCAATTCACCACCAAGTGGTGCAGAGCCAGTCAATCTATCTGCCTGCTCATTTCCCAACACACTAGCAGTACATAGAGAAAATACCCAAAGGATGCTAACTACCTGGGACCTCTGAAGTGATGCTTGCCACTCTGCACAAAGCATGCCTGTCTTCACATTTCTCAGCATGCTCTGTGAGTCAATTACAATCACAGCATGTGTGTACAGCTGATTGTCAAGCCAGCAGGAAGGCAGCAGAGACTGCCTCCACCTCCATTCTCAAACTAGACATTATGATATCGTATGCAAGGCTTTTGCTGCACTAAACGATGTCCATTTGCCTTTGCTATGAACCCTAATGCACTTTGTCTGCCCCTCAACACAGAGCCATCTCTATAGATAATCACATCACTTGGGCGGGAATTGTCATGAATCATTTATTGAACTTCTGATTCTACAGCACTAGCTGGCAAGTCCCTGCATTCACGACCTGAAGTGATTAGAACCCTACACAAGTCTGAAACATGATCAGACACTTTTACCCACTCCTTTCCTCACTCAAATTTATCAAGCCTGTACACATATCCAATTGTGTCTTCAGCTTGTGCCATCCAAGACCTTCCCCTTTTCAGTCTGTGACCTTTAGCTCTACTCAGGGTTCATGCAGGAGGTGCTTCTTGTCTGCAGCTACTCTAAGATATGACTTTGCATGTCGTAAATGGTGACTAACTGGTATGTTTCCTTCAAAGTCGTAGTGCATCTGTCTGAGAGGTAAGGAACTGACAGCTTGCATACAAATAAGTCAGATCTGTAAAAACGGATGTGCATGCAAAACTCCAAGTTTTGGAACAAGATAAAAGTTTAAAAATGGATGAACAACCAGAAACTTCCACTGGAATTGACAGCTAGTGAATGCTAAGACGACTAAAAAGAAGACACCAAAAAGCACCAGCTTAGGGCGGTGCGGAGGATTAAATAGAATGCTTTCTTTTGGGCCTTAAAATGGAATTATATTGCCATGGAACAGCTAAAGGGGGATTATGGCATCATAGTGACCTTAACAAACATTGTGTTTCCCACAATAACCTTTTTCCCTCCAAACCTAATGCTGCATAACTACTGCGCAGGCATGGATAGAAGCATTACCCTTGACTAGGCCAAGCGGGCACCCTCTAAAGGCTATAAATAAATATAAAGCTAGTGTGTGGGCTGTCGGCTCTGTGGCTAAGTTGATGCGAATGCTTCGTAATTCCGGGGTGCCGGGTTCGATCCCAGCTGCGGGTCATGCGCCTTGCGTTGGTTTCGACAGTGGTATCAGGGGGCCGACCGCCCAGAGGGCAATGGCAAACTATTGGATATAAATTTGCCTCGAGAAACCACACAACAGCCAGGGGCTTCTGGGGTTGGTTCTGCAACGTCCTATACAGGATACGCAACTAACCAAAGTGTGTGGGCTTCCTGTGGTGTGTGTACAAGATGGCACAAAACAGCACAACAAAAGTTGTCGACTCGGGATGAAAAGATTAAAACCTGTTGTGGGGCAAGGAGGTGGCAGCAAAAATATACAAATGTTTCAAAATAAATGTTATTTCCTTTTTCTTTTTAGGGATGTTCCAGTTGACTTTAAATACATCGCTGATCCATCCATGCACTCGATGCCAGCAGTCTCTCTGTCACCCAATGGTAAGCTAATATATGCAGTTGCCAGGTAGAATTCTTATCATCTGAACAATGTCCTAGAGTGATTAGTGATTAAAAAGGATTATCACCACATCACTCCAGACAGATCCATAGGTGCTCCGATCATCTCCTCAAAAGCTCCACAAGTGTAAAACAACTGATGACGCCTGTTCTGTGTTGGTCCTAGAGGTTAGAGGACAATTAACAGTGACTGACATAGTCATAAATTATTGTAGAAAACCTCTTCCTCACAAAGATAAGGGTAACTTCTAAGCTGATCCACTTGTATAGAGGTGTCACTGTAATTGCTGTAAGTTAACACCAAATGGGAATACAGTCACGGTTACCAGGAAGGCTGAGCCAGGCAACAGATGTCTGCAGAAGTCAGATGTGTCGACCGTAGGCACAAATATTGCAGCCATTTTGTAAATGGGCACACTATCCTGATGTCCTCAGATGAATGAAGACAAAGAGAATCAAGATTTGCAGCTCACTGAACTAGTGTCATTGTTGACAGAAAAGAGCCATAATGGGTTGTTTCCTAAATTAATGTACTGCGTAGTGAAGATACCATGAAAGAAGTTAATTCATACAGAGAACTGATTACCCACATCAGAAAAGGAAAATCTTCATCTTTGGTTATCAGAAAAGGAAAATCTTCATCTTTGGTTATGTCATGAGAAGGGGAAATTTTAAGTATGTTGTAACAGCAAAAAAATTGAAGGGGAAGAGAGGCAGAGGGAAACTAATAGAAAAGCTATTGGGCAGTTTGTCATCAGGGCATTACAGAACATCTGTATCATACATATTTGACAGTAGGTGAGACAGAAGGTGGTGGACGGACATGATTTACTACGCTGCACAGTGCTGGCTTCAACAAGAAGTTGACCGAATATCCCTTTGTGGTTTTTGGGGCCCCATTGTAGGGAAAAAAAGAATAGACTCATCGCCTCCCTGACACGTATATAGTAATAGTCGACTGGTTAAGGGTCATCCTCTGAGTGCTTCTGCCTGACAAGTGAGGGATCAACTACATACAACAAATAAGCCAGATCTGTAAAGCGGAACATGCATACAAAACACAGGTTCTGGAACAAGACAAGTCCAGAAGTGGACAAACAGCTAGAACTTTCTGTCAGAGTTTACTACGGCCACTGGCCGTGAAGAAGAAACATTTAAATTTTTTGGGGGAAACCTTTTGAATGATAAACTTGTCAAACAATACTAACATACTGATTGCAGGGAAGTGGTTGGCAACCTTTTGAATGATAAACTTGTCAAACAATACTAACATACTGATTGCAGGGAAGTGGTTGGCAACATTTTGAATGATAAACTTGTCAAACAATACTAACATACTGATTGCAGGGAAGTGGTTGGCAACATTTTGAATGATAAACTTGTCAAACAATACTACACTAACATACTGATTGCAGGGAAGTGGTTGGCCTGTCAGTCTATGGACAACAAGATCTGTGTCTTCAATGCTCTCAACAGGATGAAGTTTATCAGGAAAAAGACTTTCACTGGACACATGGTAAGTCAGGGTATAGGCCAGTGTTGTTGGATGTAAAATTAAGAAACTGCTTCACAGCACTTGGAACATCCCCATAAGCACTCCCTTCCTATCTTCAGCAGCAAGTGGAGAATTCCAGTCCCGATGGCACCAGAAACAGACTGATTTTATATTTGTCTCATCTCTCACTTGAGTGTTAAGTGTCTGCCACCGTGGGCTGGTCATTTGATGACCAATAGATGTCTGTCTGACATGCACTCAGTATCACAGATTATTGTGTTAATAATTAGAAGTATCTGACTAAAACCAGTGATACAGTTCATAAAAGAAATGTTTTGGGCGTCTTATAAGAATGCCTTGGTATCAGCTGTCACAGAGTTATGTTGAAGAAATATCTTTTTCTTCTTCTGTGTTCATCCGACGATGTAATTGCGTTGTGTCTGTTTACAGCATGGCTGCGATATTTGCGCCTTACAGCCAACATATCCGACTTCTGCTGGCATTTGTTGACGGGTTTGCCTTCCCGGTTTAAAAAATATAATAAGCAAAAAACAAGAGGGAGACCAGGCAAAAAGGGAACAACGCCATCAGGAACAACATTATGGAAATGAAGATCAACTTACATTGGACACGGAAGAGCACACAGAAGGACCATCCATCTCCATCCCCATCAGAATCAAGAGAAAGGGAAATTATGTGAGAAATACTAGACTAATGTTAGTTGCGTATCCTTTACAGGACGTTGCAGAACCAACCCCAGCATTGGCTGTTGTGATTTTTCTAGGCAAATTTACGTCCAGTAGTTTGCCATTGCTTTCTGGACGGCCAGCTTCTCGATACCACAGACGCTGACACTAGACTAATAATTAATTTTTTAAAAACAACATCTAAGCTATAGTGTTGTCATGAGGTTTATATTATGGGATGCAGAAGTGCTGAACTACACATGGTGGTGCACCAAGACCTATATACATCTCTCCATGCTCATCTTGGAAACAAGCTGCCAACTGGTCAGTGAAAATAGGATTGCCCTTTCCTTACAAGTAAGAGTGCATCTGCCTGAGAGGCAAGGAACCAACAGTCTGCACACAGATAAGCAAGGTCTTTGGAATGGTTGAGAGGCAATACTCAAGTCCTGGAACAAGACCAAAGTCCAGAAGTGGACAAGCAACCAGGACTTTCCGTCAGATTTACAACAAGTGAATGTTAAGAATAAAAAATTGAGTCAAGAATTTACATCATAGCACTCGGGGCATTTCCATGCGTTCTCCATCCTCAACTTCAGCAACCTGCACAGAGTTTCAATACTGATGGTACCGGTCACAATCTGGTTTATTTGTCTTTCCTGTGAGTGTAGTGAGCTGGCCAGACCCTCTGGTTACACCCAGGTGCCTGATTCTCTCCAGGCCGTAGTAATCTTGTTTCTCTACTTATTCCGTTGCTTGTTCTCAAAGGGCCTCGACCACATCTGCCTTGTCATGTATCAGTTCACCACCAAGTTGTGCAGATCCAGCCAATCTGTCTGTCTGTTCATTACCCACTATGCCAACATAGTCTGAAGAAAATATCCAAAGTATGCGTACTACCCGTGACCTTCCAAGTGAAGCTTGCCACTCTGCTCGAAGCATCCCTGTCTTCACCTTTCTCAGCATGCTTTCAGAGTCTGTTACAATTATGACATGTGTATTCATCTTGTTCTCTAGCCACGGAGAGCTGCAGTGAAGAAGAAGACAAGAAGAAACAAGTAAATCAACAAAACTATTAAATCATATTTGCAGCCAGAATTGACACTTATTAGTACATTTGACTCACAGGAGAAGCATGATTAAAATAAGATTAAAAAGAAAAAAAATCGAAGGGTGTGGTTGCAGACATTAGTTTCCATCAGCTGCCTCAAACAACCATGCCAATAAATATTTTCTTTGCATTTCAGGTTGCTGGCTATGCTTGTGGCATTGACTTTTCTCCCGAAATGAGGTAAGACTGACTTCCTTGTTTGCAGTCCCTGTGTGAGTTCTGAGGCCCCATTTTAGAGGAAAACAGAATTGACCTCCACCCCCCATAAACAAGCATGTCGTAAAATACGACTAACTAGGAGTGGTCCCTTTGAAGTCAAAGTGCATCTGCCTGAGATGCGAGGAACTAACAGTCTGCATACAAATAAGCCAGATATGTAAAATGGATGTCCAAACAAAACTTGACTTCTGGAACAAAACTGAAGCCCAGAAGCGGACAAACAACTAGAATTTTCCGCTGGAGTTTAAAGCCAGTAAATGCTAAGAAGTAGAAGAAGAAAATGCAGTCTGCTTTTGAGAGTATTTTTCTTTGTGCAGCCACTTTCCATATCTTGTCTTCTTTTTTTTAATCTTTTTGCAGGCATTTATATTTAATGTTACTCTCCTATCTGCATTGCTGTCTGCCTCTTGCTAGTCTACTTTTAATCTTTCGCTTGAGTATGATTTTAAGTTTTATGTGTTGTAATGTGGTCCACATATTTCATTTGTCTCTTTGATTTCTTTCAACAATTATTTTTTCCTTCCAAGGAGATACTGCTAATGGTGTAGATGTTTTTATGGCCTCTGCCACACATCAGTTCTGGTACTGATATCATAATGACCCCTGTCACATATTGTTGGTGGTAAAGTTGTTATAATTTAAATACCCCTGCCACATATTGTTACTGGTGGAGATATTATAATGATCCCTACTACATGTTGTTACTAGTAGAGATATAATGACCCTTACGACATATTGTTACTTAATACATATTGTAAATATGTTGTAATTATCCCAACCACACATCAGTTCTGGTGTAGATATAATGACCCCTACCACATAGTGTTAATGGTAGAGATGTTATAATGACCCCTACCACATATTGTTACTGATAGAGATGTTTTAATGATCTCTACCACATATTGTTACTGATAGAGACATTATAATGACCCCTACCAGATATTGTTGCTATTAGAGATGTTTTAACGATCCCCACCACATATTGTTACTGATAGAGATGTTATAACGATCCCTACCACATATTGTTACTGATAGAGATGTTATAATGATCTCTACCACATATTCTTACTGATAGAGATGTTATAATGATCTCTACCACATATTGTTACTGATAGAGATGTTATAACGATCCCCACCACATATTGTTACTGATAGAGATGTTATAACGATCCCCACCACATATTGTTACTGATAGAGATGTTATAATGATCTCCACCACATATTGTTACTGATAGAGATGTTATAATGATCTCTACCACATATTGTTACTGATAGAGATGTTATAATAACCCTACCTCACATTACTGCTGGTATAGATAATGTAATGGGACATCTGCACACACACACACACACACACACATGCATAGACACACATACTGTAGGTATTGAGTTTAATCAGTCATATTTTTGTGTAAATTGCTGTTCTGAAATTAAAATGAATTGTTGCAGCTATATTACCTGCGGGGACGCAGACGGCAAGGTCTACATCTGGGACTGGAGAAGCACCAAACTATACTCCAAGTTCAAGGCCCATGATGACGTCTGCATCAGTGTTTTGTGGCACCCACATGAAACATCTAAAATTGCAACTGCAGGCTGGGATGGGGTCATCAAGTTTTGGGATTAAGGAACCAGGTCTGTCCGCAGGATACATGGAGAGAAGGCAGCTTAGAAACTAAACAGCTGTGACATTTGATCTCAGCTGTGATGAATTCAAGAAATATTTAGTAATTAACAAAAAAATTATTAGCCTGCATGGGTTTTGAGTGTTTTATCTCATACGTGATCTACCCAAAGGAAGACAGAGGTATTTGTCAATCAGGTTATTCAGTCTCAATTAGCCTGTTACCTCTCTGTAAGTCTTAACTTTTGTCTGTTTATAGGGCTCTTTTGTTATTACTGTGAAAGGTTACCTGTCTTCCACATCTACGTAGTTTAAAGTTTGAACAACGGATCAACATCATGGCACAAGGGAAGTAACCCATAAGTGCTTTGTTCTTTCAACTAACTCAAGTCCGAGTCCGAAAAAGCTCAGCACAGTGCACAGGCTCTGTAGCACCGGCAAGAATCCTGAAATACGCTGGGTAGTTTTTTAACTCTAAATTTTGCCCGGGCAGTGCCGTTAGGCTAGTCTTTTCGATTTCCAACTGCCAAGAGATTTTTTACGTGCGCAACAATGCACATGGGCATCCAATCTCACTACCCAGAGACCAGGGAAAATACTAGAAGTCCGAGTCCACGTGAAAAAATCCCAGCCCTTACCAGGGATTGAACTCGGAACCTCAAGGCGGACACCATGCCTCGAGACCATGCAGCCCCCCCCCCCCCCTCTCCCACATCAACGTAAAAGATTTTTAACTCTTTCAGCCGGTAAGAATAATTAAAAAATGACTTTTTTCTTAATTTCAGTTGAAAAAATACATCGTTTTAATTCTCTGATATCTTTTCCGTAGAAACTAAAGTGAAATAAGACGCAGAAGAAGTTATTGTGTGTCGTGGTCATTTTTTTGTTTAAATAAAAGTACCAGGATTGAAACCTATGACCACTGAGCAGTTAGGCAAGCCTGCTTGCCACTGCATCATCATGACCCCTAAGTTGCTAAAAACAATTAAAAAAAATAAACCCCAAAAAAATCTGCGGGTTTTGTAAGGGATGTAATCACTAAATACAAACTCAGCACAGAATTAAAAGCTTTCACTCCCCTTCAACCAAGAAGTAAAGGTTATGTGGTTTTTGTTTGGGTTAACATAACCATGTCTATGTGACATCATCATAGGTTTAGATGAGGCTGCAGTGACTTAACAATGACCACCGCAAAAAAAAATATTTGATTTTTAAAAATTGTAATCTCACCCACCATATCTGCACACTTTGCATTGCAACCAGCATCAGAGCTGTTATACAGGCGCCAGCGGTCACTGCCCAAAGACATGACATCCTAAAAAAAAACCCTAACTAGACAAGATCTCTGCATTTACAGAGCAAGATGGTTTATGATAAAGGCACTGCATTGCAGAAGAAGAAATCAGGGGTTATAACATCTTAATTTTCCTTGTTTCAACTGTCTGGTTCCTGTTTTTACAACTTTTGTAGGGCAGTTTAGGACAGGACATCTTTAGCCAGAGGATTTAGAGCAGCTTGGCTAGTGCATTCGCCACAAACTGTGCAGGCAAGAATTTTAGTTTTGCCCACAGTGAGAGCCTAGTGTTCTTAACCACTTGCTCCTCATTGTCAGCAGCAAACTAACAAAAGTGTTTGGGCTGTGCACATGGTGCCACATACTTCATTCTTCTTCTTCACATTCACCGGCTGTAAACTCTGATAGAAAATTCTGGTTGTTTGTCCAGCTCTGGACTTTAGTCTTGTTCCAGAACCTGAGTGTTGTGTGCACATCCGTTAAACAGATCTGACTTAATTTTATGCAGATTATTGGTCCTTGCCTCTCACTGGCAGATGCACTCCGACTTCGAAGAAAGCTTCCACTTAGTCGACTCCTACAATATGCTTCTAGGCAGGCAGTGGGTCTATTCTTATTTTCCCACAATAGGCCCTGGAACTCACACGGGTAGTGCCACATACAAAATTGTGCTTTCTTATTTTAAAACAAATGTTGCTGGTATGTGCTGTTGAAGGAAGTAAGGAGGAAATGTTTTAGCCAAATTGGAATATCAGCATATGTGTTTGTGAGTGTTGTTTGTGAGTGTATGTTTGTGAGTGTATGTTTGTGAGTGTATGTTTGTGAGTGTATGTTTGTGAGTGTATGTTTGTGAGTGTATGTTGAGTGTGTGAGCATACAAGAAAATGTTTGAACCATAAGAAAGTTTGAAAAAAAATTGTATTACTGTCATCGATTGTGTTCTGAGTGAGAGAAAGAAGAGTGAGAGAGAGCTGAAAGTTTTGACATTCTTGAATGTGAAATTAGCACATACAATTTGATTTTACATTATAAAGAAATACATGAAATGTCTAATTTTGCATTTTACTACCAATAAAATTTTGTTTCCACATACGTTCTCTTATCTTTTGTATGTTGTCGCAGTGAATGTTATTTTATCTGGTAATTATTTAAAATATGTTGTGATAATTGTTCTGTGTTATGTCCTTGTATGCTCTCTTATATCAGTAAATATTTTTTTATGTTGTGTGTTTCTCTTATCTTTTGTATATCTAAATGTTGGTACCAGGAAGGAGAGGCAGTGGCTGACCGATACGAAGATGGGCACAGGATATAAGTGTATGTAAGTACATGAGGCGTGAGAGCTGGCGAGAGACCGAGTTTCTTTCAGACAGACTGTGATGAGAGCAACGTTCTGCAAAGAACCTGCTACATAATGATGATGATGATATCTAAATGTGTATGCTTTTAATTGAACTTGGTTGACTTATCCACACAAGGAAAACTTGCTAACCTATCTGCTTTCATATGTGAAGCCTAAGAATAATAATTGACATTAAGTGGCATGACACAAACACAGATATATTGTAAATAGCAGGCATCACAATAATTTTCTCAGTCTTCAAAGGCTCAGAGTGCTAGGATACGTAAGGATTCCCACTAGACATCCTCTATGTTGAACTACATATGGATAAAAGATACTGAGGTCGACCTTTGCTACGTTTTAAAGATATGTGCAAAATGGACATGAACGATACAGGTATTGAGGTAGATTTGAAAGCATAGGAGGCCATAAATCACGTTGCATGGAAAGGGAAAATCAGCGGGGGAATAAGGATGAAGGAGAAAATGGTTGCAGACAGCTGAGCAAAGTAAAGTAAGGTCCCTTTTCCACACCTTTAGGCATATAGGGCTAGACCTATATTTTAATAGACCAATCGGCAGAAAATGGGTGATGTGGATCATGCCGGCTGCCTTTACTTCCCGGGACTGCACCCGGCTGCCCACTCAAGCCTGGGTCGACCAGAGAGTCAATGTCATTTTTGAAACAAGTCAGGCTCCGCCAGAGAGTGAACCCACGACCTTCCGATCCTCATGCTAGCGTCTAGCCGCTACGCCATGGCAACTCCCGAGCGCCTGAGAAGAAGCACATTAAATACATGCTGTACCAATGATGGTCTTGAAATCCTATGCTCTCTTCCATACAGCTTTTGAGAGTCACAACATGGAAGAAACTGGAGCCTGACCTAAATTCGATGTGTCTACTGGGACAGTTTCAAAGGTTGTTTGTAAGAAACTGCAATACCAGAAGGTGTGTTTACAGTATGTATCATATAACGAATGCAGTACACACTTGGTTCAGTGAGCAACCACAATCCGTTTTTGAGGATGGCATTTCTCGCCTACCTAAGCAACAGGATGCTTGATTTTTTTCAACCAATCCATGGTGCATAATTCAGTCAAAATGAATGCTCTCTCTAATTCAGCCACACCTATTAACGTTTATTTCATATGTTTGTAATAAAGACATCAGAAAGAATTTAAATAAATAGAACCTTTACATTTAATTATCTTTGTTATTTCAAATAAACAGAACCTTCACATTTAATTATTTTTGTTATTTCAAATAAATAGAACCTTCACATTTAATTATTTTTGTTATTTCAAATAAATAGAACCTTTACATTTAACTATTTTTGTTATTTCAAATAAATAGAACCTTTACATTTAATTATCTTTGTTATTTCAAATAAATAGAACCTTCACATTTAACTATTTTTGTTATTTCAAATAAATAGAACCTTTACATTTAATTATTTTTGTTATTTCAAATAAATAGGACCTTTACATTTAATTAATTGTGTTCTTATTAAGAACAACAGGCCTTTGTTTTTTCTCAGACCTTTTTCTTTTTGCCTGACAATACACAACTTTACACAGTATCAGGCATAATTCCTCCACCTGTTTTTTTTTTATAATACAAAGAAAGCCCTGAATATTCTTATAGAAATCTTATCTCCAGGGTGACAATTTAATTTTCTAAATGCTTGTTCACTGTCTCCATTTCTTTGTTAAATAATCAATTAAAATTTGCTAAATAAGTATGTATATTTTAAAGTTCCATACAACAGAAATAGAAAGAACACAACTGGTCTAACAACAGCACTTTTATTTTTGAAAAGGATATTCGAAATGTAATGATCCTACCTAAAGACATATTTATGAAAACGTACAGTTATACATTTGATTATCACAATTTCAAAAAACTATGTCTACTAATTATATGCTGAGTTACTTGATTGTTGATAGCTACTGCTTCCTTTCAAATGGATAAATGTGTATATGGTTTTTGCTTCCGTTCTAATGGACAATTGCTGACAGTTGTCGCTTCAGTTCTAATGGATAATTGCTGACAGCTGTTGCTTCCGTTCTAATGGATAATTGCTGACAGCTGTTGCTTCCGTTCTAATGGATAATTGCTGACAGCTGTTGCTTCCGTTCTAATGGATAATTGCTGACAGCTGTTGCTTCTGTTCTAATGGATAATTGCTGACAGCTGCTGCTTCTGTTCTAATGGATAATTGCTGACAGCTGTTGCTTCCGTTCTAATGGATAATTGCTGACAGCTGTTGCTTCCGTTCTAATGGATAATTGCTGACAGCTGCTGCTTCTGTTCTAATGGATAATTGCTGACAGCTGTTGCTTCCGTTCTAATGGATAATTGCTGACA